CCTTGGGGTATTTATAGGCAATGGAATCCGGGCTTGGGCCTGGATTCCGGGCCTCCGGATGGACCGCCATCATTACACACCGCGTCCTCACCCAACCAGTGATGCCGCCCGCGAACAGCCAGCCATCACACGCCACGTGTGCCACCCCCCCCAACGGCTATATCCCGTCGTTACATATTCCAACGGCTATATTTCCAACGACTATATTCTGGAAGCCCCCGGGTTTTCTACTTCACTCCACTTCATCAAGGATAGCCTCCGGGTACACTCACTCAGAAGTGCCCCCGGGTTGTGCCCCACACAGCACATAACAGACGCCTTCGGGATCACTTCTTCAGAAACCCAGGGCTTCATATCAAGGCACCCCTCGGGGATTCCCCCTCAGCACTGCAAAACCGGGGTAGCCCCCGGGGAGTGCCTCATTGATGGATGACCCCTGGCACACAGGTAATGGGAGCCCTCGGGTATCTTCATCACCAACTAATCAACAAACAGTGGACCCCCCCGGTAACAACTTCACTGCTGCCCTCATCTGGCAGGCCCTCGATCCCTGGATTGAGGGGCTCCCCTTCGGCGCCACCAAGACATCAACAGCAAGCCTTCGGCTAATCAACACAGGAGCCCTCAGAAGAGAGAGCCTTCGGCATTCCCGTCATTCTCCATTTTTTACCAAGGTTTGACATTTTCGATTCATCATTGGGGGAATTCGGTGTACTCTTTTTCCCTCATTAGGATTTTTTTCCCAAAGGGTTTTTCCTAATGAGGTTTTTAACGAGGCATCCCCCCAAAATGAAACGAAAAGCGTCAGCCTTCGGCCCACAACAGCAACGTAACTACTTTACTCCTTTTCACCACTTTACAAGTGCCTCAAGGAGTGGGGGACTGGAGGACCCCCTCGGGAAAATCATTAAATTACAAAAGATGTAGAAATTCCAACAAACAACGAAGCAAGCCCTCAAGTCCCGACATGTGGGTAACTGAGGGACTGCCTTCGGCAGGGACATAAAAGCAACAACTCCTCACCAACTTCAGAGATCACGACGGGACAACATCAAGGGGCAAGCACAAATTACTCCTTTTCCCTCAAGTACCTTTCGGCAAAAGGAGTGAGGGACTCCATGGAGGACCCCCTCGGGAAAATCATTAAATTACAAAAGATGTAGAAATTCCAACAAACAACGAAGCAAGCCCTCAAGTCCCGACATGTGGGTAACTGAGGGACTGCCTTCGGCAGGGACATAAAAGCAACAACTCCTCACCAACTTCAGAGATCACGACGGGACAACATCAAGGGGCAAGCACAAATTACTCCTTTTCCCTCAAGTACCTTTCGGCAAAAGGAGTGAGGGACTCCTGATGGAGTATATGGCGCGGGAACCCCCGGCCCACAGACTCTTACTACTCCAGCGAAGGCCCAAAAGGCCCAAAAGGCCCAACAGGCCCAAATCACAGCGCCCAGAGTACCAAGCAGTCCGCACTACGCGCCAGGGGTGCCTTCGGCCCCCTAGCCGAAGGCTCCAAATTCTCACAGAGCGGGTTTCTCAAGCAAATTAAGAAACTGGGAGAAAACGGCGAAAACAGTAGCCCTCGGCATTGTGAGCCCTCGGCACCAGGGGTGCCATCGGGTGGAAGAGCCCTCGGCTACTGCTCTATAGCCGAAGGCATCTCACTCGACAAGATATCCGCCTCACATGCGTACAGATCACCATACCCCGCACAGACGTCCCGTCCAACAGCCGCATTAAATGCGGCCACATGCGGCTGCCAGCGCCAACCAGTTGAGGTGACCCCTCGGCCAATGAGCGCTTGACACGTGTCCCTGCCCGGCATTTATTGCTACTATAAATAGCACCCCATTTCCTCATTTGTAACCACGCTGAAAACGGCATTCATACTGAATACACTCTCTCTCTACTTTTACTTACTCGCTCTGACTTCTCTCTAAGTTATTCTCCGTAATAACCCTTCAGATATATACCCCCGGGTAGACTATCCATCATTACCTAAAAAATATTAAAAAATATGTATGCCTATGCATCCTCCACCTCCCAGCACCACCAGCTCCGATTATTTGAAAAAAGTCATCTTTTATAATAAAAAATGTTACATTCCTCTAAGAATGTAATGAATATGACATTTTACTCTTTGGAAATATGAAATTTTCTTTTCATAATTGCTATCACGCTGACATTTTTTACAATTTGACATTCTTTTTCGGTAACAAGAGGAGGAGGTGCTGAAAGGTGGATAAAGTGGTTGAAGCATATATATTTTTTATTGATTTGTTACATTTTTATTTTTGTATTTTATTTTGTTTATGTTTTGTTACTCCGTATTATTTAAAAATCCTATTAGGCATGACAAGTTAAAGGGTAGAATAGGAAAAGTTACTTCTATTTTGACAATTTAAACTGTATACTCCTATTGTTACAATTTACTTTTATTTGCTCCTATTTAGGAAATTCCCTCATAACAAAATTGTGACTTTTTATAGAATAAGGGGGATCCAGGATTTTTCGCTGAATATTACTAAATTGAAGTCAATTTCAAAAAATGTGATAACATATAAATATTGACAAAATGTGACGAACATGTTCATATATTTGAAAAAATATGAGGTCATTGTAAATTTTAATGTTACTGTCAAAGTTTTTAGGAAAAATTCACACTAATAATCCAATCTATTGTCTGTCTTCTATTATTAATCCGTCTAACGTGTTATTCTGAAATAATACCAATTAAGGGGTTAATCTTCCACCTTCACTCTGAGGACACTAGCAACCGGCTAATCAAGTAACTAATTTTTATGTCTCTAAGAGTTGTTACTGGTGAGTTTTTATGTCACTTACGAATGTCATTGTTGTCTTGAACTATGCCACTCACTCATTGTGACCGTCAAAAAAATTCCCGTAACTATTTTCTAGCAAAACAGTCGGATCGACGGTTGTGTAGTGTGTACCCATGCCCAACACCCCAAACCCTAGCCCGTAGCCCATGTCCTGCCCTGCCCCCTAACCTATCCCTAGCCACCCTCCCCACCACTGCCCGTCGCCACCACTAGGCCCTTGGCCCACCTTTTTAGCCCCCTCAAGCTCCCAGCCAGCCCCGCGCCCCCCAGGCTCCCTAGCCCAGCCCCCCTCCAGCTCCCATGCGACTCCCATCTCAAGACACGATGCAACAACCTTAGCCGCGGTTGTGTAGTGTGTACCCATGCCCAACACCCCAAACCCTAACCCGTAGCCCATGTCCTGCCCTGCCCCCTAACCTATCCCTAGCCATCCTCCCCACCACTGCCCGTCGCCACCACTAGGCCCTAGGCCCCTTTTTAGCCCCCTCAAGTTCCCAGCCCAGCCCCCCTGTAGGCTGTAGCTCCCATGCGACTCCCAACTCAAGACACGATGCAACAACCCTAGCCGCGGTCATGGCCCACCTGCAACAACTGCTCCATCGAAGAATGTTGTCGATGAAGACTATCGTTTAGCTCTGTATTCATATCTCGGTTTCGATTGAGTTTTAGGGGTAGATGACGATTTCAATGAGGCGGTGATTCGAGTTGCGCGCCGGCGGCCATGATAGCGGATGCGACGACCTCAGAGTAGTGTTGGCGTCCGCGACTCTCTCAGCAGCATTGGCGACAACTCTTCAGCGACGGCGGCGCCGACTCAGCTGCAGCGGCACTCTCCAAGCTCCAGTTGTGCACCGCAATAGTGCACCATAATAATAATTTTAGTAATTATTGTGTCATGTCTACACCAAAGTAACCATTATGGTGTATCCATACTAATTGTATTCTCATTATTATCTATAAATTCTAATATTCTATAGAGTATGATATTTGTTTTGTCCGATTAAGATTGTTTTCATTTTTTTGATTTCATCCCACTTAGATGATCTCATACTCCCTCCCTTAAAACATTGTCTATTTTCTCTTTTTGGATGTTCTACTAACTTTGTCACTTTCTTTTTAAGTAAAGAATTTGTGCTTCTAGTTAGTTCTCTCTTTTATGCACAAACTACAATTACACAATTTTTACTTTATTAATCCTCATGTTGTTCAAACTTGGACATGTTTTAACGGACAAAGGGTATTATTAATCCACACAGTTTTAAGGGTATCTAATTCAAGAAAATAATTAAAAAACCCCAAACTTTGAAGGGGTGTGAGATAAACGCCTCGAACTTTCATATGTAATTTAAATACCACAAACTTTATAAAAAATGTTATTTTAACATCATGGTTATGTATTATTTCTTCCCAAAATGTAAATTTATGGTGTTAAATGCATAATTTAAAATATCAAATTGAAAACATTAGAATTATATATAGTGGTGGGTAATACTATTTATTTTACAATGGAAGCCTAGAATGTTAATTGTATCTTTATGAATGCTAAAAATTATCAAATTATGAAATAAACACCAAAAATTAATATTTTTGAAAAAAAAAATACATGACCATGGTGCTAAAATAACTTTTTATATAAAGTTTGAGGTATTTAATTTACATATGCAAGTTTGGGGTGCTTGTCTCACACCTCATCAAAGTTTGGGATATTTTAATTATCATTCACTATCTAATTTGATTTGGTAAAGTTTGTGTGAATGACTCTTTATTACTTTATCAATTCATTATCAATCACATAAACTCATTTTTGAGGTAGTAATATTTAAGTAAAACTTTTATTGAAATAACCATTGGTCTTAATTTCTAATTATAAAAAAATGACACCTCATCACTGAGGCCTCTCAATATCGAATAGATAATTAATTCAACTTTAAGCGCAAGCTGACAGATAAGTGTGATGCTCTGACCCTAAGACTTGCAAAGATTTTAGTGGACATGATTCGAACCCGAAATTTACCTCATGTAGTACTCTAGACAACTTAATTTCTAATTATACTAGCTATAGTACGGATGATTTATCTTTGATATCGGCTCTCTTTTTCAAATTCCATGTGTTAAAATATTGGACAAACTTTTTTTATCATAAAATTGCTTGATTTTTTTGAAATAAGAGTAAAGCGAACATGCTTTAACTTTCTAATTTTTACGCACATATTTCCTGGGTAGCGTAGCTAGTAGCGTAGCTAGTAGCTAGATTTGTGGAAATGGAATAAAAATTATCTCATACATTCTTTTAATAATATAGAAATGCTCAACTTTATAAAGTAGTCCCTTCCTTCCTTTTTTGATAGTCCAGATGTGGATGCCTTTCGTTTCCCTAATTCTTGAGTCTATTGACTATCCTCCAAAGCCTTTAGACAGTCAAATCCGGATATTATCACAGTCAACCTTCGTCGGTATTGGTACCATAGGATGAATACAGCAGAACTTTCTTTCAACTGAATCCAGAAGGATCCTCCTACTATGCAGAACTTCCTTTCATCTGTATCCAGAAAGGTCCTCCTACCACGCGAACTCGCGACCTGAATTTCCATCGGCTCCCTTCTAAACCGCTGTACAACTCCGTGAAGATAGGAAGACTCATTGGGAACAAGACCTACCTCCCCTCCCTTCCTTAAAACTTAACAATTTTCTCTTTTTTGAATGTTCTATTAATTTTATCACTTTCCCTTTTAACTACGTAGTAAAAAGTTTGTGATTCTAGTTAATCCTCTCTACTCTACACAAATATCAACCACATAATTTTTACTTTATTAATTCTCGTATCGATTAAACTTGATAAAGTTTTTAAGTGACAGAGGGATTATAAGTTATTCCATCTCCAACAAATTAATGGATTTAACCAAGCTAAGAAAAATGATGCAGGGAATAGAGGAATTATGGGGGAAATTGGGTTCTGGGGTGGTGACATTGTTGGTTCTCTGGGCAACCTTCGACAAGTACTTCCCCTACGAGCTCCGCCATTTTTTCAAGAGATATGTCAAGAAATTCAGGGGCGTCGTCAACCCTTATATTCAAATCACCTTCCCCGAGTTTTCAGGCAATGGCTTTCACCGGAGTAAGGCTTACCAGGTGATCGAGCGTTACCTCTCCGCTAGTTCCTCCGCTAAGGCCAAGTGTCTCAAGGCGGAGGACACCAATCACGGCTCCTCTCAGACTACTCTAGTTTTCAGCATGGACTATCACGAGGAAATCGCCGATGACACATTTGCTGAGAATGCAGCGGCGGACGCCGGATTCAAAGTCTGGTGGACCTCCTGCCGGGACGAACCGAACCGGCAGAACATACCAGTTCCTTTCTTTGGCGCCGAACGCGGGGCAGACGATGGCGGCAGGCGGTATTTCACACTCAAGTTCCACCAGAGATACCGGGATGTCGTCACAGGAGCTTACCTGAAACATGTTTTACAGGCGGGGAAGGAGATCGCGGTGAAGGACCGGCAAAGAAAGCTGTACACCAACTGTTCAAGTAGCGGTGGGGGCTATAGACGGAGCACATGGATCCATGTACCCTTCGAGCATCCCGCCAAATTCGAAACCCTAGCGATGGATCCTGAAAAGAAGAAGGAAATCGTGGACGATCTCCTCAAGTTTAAGGAATCCAAGGACTATTACGCCAAAATCGGGAAGTCCTGGAAACGCGGGTACCTCCTCTACGGCCCTCCCGGCACCGGAAAGTCGTCTATGGTGGCTTCCATGGCGAACCTTCTCGAATACGACATTTACGATCTGGAACTGACGGCGGTGATGGACAATACCACGCTCAGGAATCTCCTTATCGACACTGCCGGAAAATCGATCATCGTGATAGAAGACATCGATTGCTCCCTAGACCTCACCGGGCAACGGAAAGGAGCGAATCTCGAGAAGAATCTCCGCGAAGACGAAGAGGAGATGAATCCGAAGAAAACGAGCCAAGTTTCTCTATCTGGTCTCCTGAACTTCATTGATGGGCTCTGGTCGGCCATCGGAGGAGAAAGGCTCATTGTCTTCACCACGAATTTCAAGGAAAAGCTGGATCCAGCTCTGATTCGGAGTGGGAGGATGGATAAACACGTCGAGCTTTCCTACTGTAGATTCGAAGGATTCAAGGTCCTTGCTAAAAACTACTTGGACATCGAAGGGCACTGTCTCTTCCCCAGGATCGAGCAGCTGTTGACGGAAAGGGACATGACTCCGGCGGATGTTGCAGAAACTCTGATGCCCAAATCTCCGCAGGACGATACGGCGACTTCTCTCCAAAGACTTGTAGAAGCTCTAGAAGCAAAGAGATTTGGCCCAATATTAGACAGCCCATAGTCAGGCCCAGTGCTCTTAGCCCGTCCTCGAGTCCGACCCGATACAAGCTGCGTGTGGGATGATGTTTCAAATCAATGATACTTGAGCAATTCTTATTTTCACATTTTAATAGTTTAAATAAAAACAGTGTTTACGGGAATAAATTCTCTCTCTACTTACACACAGTTATCCTTGCATACTGTTTAGTAACTAAGAGCTCGTTTAGTAACACTGTTTTTTGATTTATCGATCTTACCAGCTTGCTTTTTTCCACCAAACACGTAACATTTGATTTCACGCGTTGAATTGTCTAATAATAATAAAAAGTAAGGTCGAAGTTACTTTCAAACTAATAATAATTTTAGCTATTTTTCATATAACTTTTTCTTTATTACTCCCTCCGTCCCTTATAACTTTGTCAACTTTCCTTTTTGAATGTCCCACTAACTTTGCCACTTTCCCTTTAGTAAAAAATTTGTGGTTCCAATTCATTCTCTCTCCTCTGCACAAGTCTCAATCACACAATTTTTACTTTATTATTCTCCGTGTCGGTCAAACTTGACAAAGTTATTAGGAACGGAGGGAGTATATTAATAAAAAATATTTTAAATATAATTTTTTCAAAAATTAGCAGAATCAACCAATTCAGTTAGTACTTCGGGGGTGTTTGGTTGGGAGGCTATCAACCATTTTTTGGTTGATTTGACTAATTTTAGCCCTTTGACCAAATCAATCGGCTAATAATAGCGTTTGGTTAAATTACTTTTTCAATTTACTTTTTATCCCATACAAACAAAACACAAAAAGCTATGGATCATAGCGTTTGGCGTTTTTAGATTTTTCCTATACTACCCATACCTTTTTCGTATCTTCTTACTCCTCATTGTTCTCCTCAACGTTTTGTCAACAGACTTGTTTTTCACATCGAAGACTTTTTTTTCTTAGAGATTGATATATTTCCTCATAGCTGCTGGCGAGTGTAATATGCTCAATACTAAGCTAGGTTTTACAATATACTCCCTCCGTCCCTCAAAGTTTGTCATACTTTGACTTTGGGCTATTTAAGAGAAGGGAAAAAATGAGTTTGACATTCCCAAAATACCCTCACAAAGGTGAGGGTAACTTCCCAAAAAAGCAGGCGGTAAAAATGGGGAGGGGAATGGGCCGAAATCAATAAGCAATGCAAAAGTGAAAAACAAGTGGCCATTAAAAAATCAAAGTACAAGGAAAAGAGATGACAAAATGGTTCTAGAGTCCATCTTAATTGTCTACCTAGACAATTTGGCACCAAAAAATTCGAATCTCCCTCCTAATTTTAACTTCAAACACTTTTACATCTACCAAATGGGTACAAGTATAAATAGACCTCATTCATTACAACAAATAAGCATTCAATACAACCCTTAAATGGAGTCTACTTAAGAAGAAGTTGTGCCTTCACTGCAAACCAGTTCTGCACTGTCCTTGGATGTGGTGGATCTCGGACACTTTTCATCTCCAAACAGCTCACAATCAGAACAGCCAGCTGCAATACCTATAGTTCAAAGTGTCACAGGTATCAGTTCAAAATTAACAACTGATAATAGGAAAAGATTTATTCAAATTTTGTTAAGTAGTTCTTGTGGTGGGAAACTTCAGAGGGGTGAAATAAAAAAGACATCAAATGAGTTCAACATTTCCACTTGTACTGTGCTTCAGATGTGGAAGAAAGAAAAAGCGCAAATGCTTGGTGGACAGTCTGTGAATTTGAAAACACAGTACAAGGGAAATGTGGGCAGAAAAAGGGTCATGTTTGATGGTGAAAAGCTTTTTCAAATACCATTGCATCAGAGAAAAAATCTGCGTGCTCTGGGTTATGCAATACAAGTTTCCAAATCCACAGTCCATAGATGGTTCAAAAGAAAGGAAATTAGAAGACATTCAAATGCTATGAAACATCCAACTTATATGTCAGCCACCAAACAGTCCAGACCTGAATGTGTTGGACTTGGGGTTCTTTAGGATTATTGATTCACTAAAAGATCAAAAAGCCCCAAAGACTATAACACAATTAATTGATAGTGTTCAACATGCTTTCAAAGAGCTCACACCAAGCACTTTGAACAATGTATTTCTAAGCTATCAATGTGTAATGCAAAGTGTCATGCAAAACAATGGAGGTAACAATTTCAAGTTGCAACACATAGGGAAGAACTCTTTGGAAAGGCAAGGGATCTTACCCAAAAACATCCAGATCAGTCCTGAGCTATATGAATCAGCTAGGGCATATCTAAATGGACAAATGCCAATTACCAACAATGCAGACCCAAATGAAGAACAGTTCATAATTGAAGAGTAGGTATATTCTTCACATATGAACTGCTACAAAGGTGTTATGCATTCACAAGTTTTTGCTTTTTTGGTGTTTGTAAACACAGTTTGTGTGTAACAATATTTTTGTATGTACATGTACACACACAGTGCACATTATAAACGCACTGTACTGCGTACAAGGACAGCTTTTTTGTAAGCCCAGATGCATGATGAAATGAAATATGCTTTCCAGTAACATTTCTAACACACAGATCCACCAAGTCAAATGCACTTGTAATCGAGCCTCGCCCAGTTTTTCAACTGGGCTGCTACAATTACAGTTACAAACATATGCAACATATTCATACATTTAATTTGAACTCAAACCCCAAATCATCATCAGTTTCAACCAACACAAAACCCCTAGACCCCATACGGCCTAACTGTAACTCAAACCCAAAATCATGCTTTCACCGTAACTCAACCCCAAGAGAATAAGACACACAGACCAATTTAAGGATAGAGATAAAAGAAGAGGTACTACCCTTAAAAGTGTCATGGCTAGCCACGGGCAGTGCATGCTCCTTTGTTCCCTCCGCCATTGTCGAGCAGACCTCGTCCTCTTCATCCACGCCATCTAGCCGCAGAGAACTGTCAGACAACACCCTGTCTCCATAGATCTTCCTCCTAGCCTAAGTTGGATCGCTTTCAGAGTCACTGGAATACCCAAAGTGAATACGTACGGGCATAAGAAACGTTTCCGGTGCGGGTTGGGTTTCCGGTGAGACTGGATAAAAACCCAAATTATTACTCGAATAGGTTTGCTCCAGCGAATCTGCAATCGATGTTGCATGCAGTTGGGTCATAACATTTGAGATCTTAATCGGACGGACATGGGTGGGATTAGGGTTCTTTTCCATCTTCTGATATGGGCTTGGAGTTGGGCTGATTGCGATGGATATAGGAGGTAGGTAGGGGTAACGGCGGAGGAGAAGTTGGCGGTAGCAGCGGCGGAGTGAGTTACAGAACCATTAGGGGAGAAGTTGAGGGTAGCAGGCGGAGTGAGTTACAGAACCGGTAGGGGAGGGAAGGAGATAATGTAGAGTGAGATGGAGAGGAGAAGAGTGTAGAAGCGGTGAGTAATAAATGGGGAAGGAGAAGTAGAAGTAGTGGATAATAATTGGGGAAGGAGAAGTAGAAGCGGCGAATAATAAATGGGGAAGGAGGGTTTGCGTTTAAAATGAGTGGAGGGGCAGTTTTTGGTCTTTCACCTAATTTTCTTTCCTAAAATAGAAACATTACAAACATTTTGGGACGTCCATTTCGGAAAAGTGTGACAAACTTTAAGGGATCAAGGTAGTAAGAGAAAGCTTTGGGTATTCTTTGATGGCTGACGGAGAAAAGAGGCTGAGGCCTTCTTAGACCTTTCAAAATCCATCAATTCTCAATCTGTTGAAGAATCGCACCAGCAACTCGAAGTGGGCACCAACAATTTCTTTTATATGGTTTATTTATATTCTTCTTTAATTTCTCTATAAGTAAATTTTGTTGTTATTATAAGTGTTAATTGTGATCTCTCTGCAAATTATTAAATTGAAAACGGTTTAATTAGCTATATGGATAACATTAGGAAAAAAATAATTGATGTCCTTAAAAGTCATTGAACAACTTATCGGCTGATTTTAAATAGCCATTTAACCAAGCATTATTTCACAAACTGCGTAAACTATCAGCTAATCAAAACAGCCAACAAAATCTGTTATCATCAATCAGCTAACACAATCGACCAACAGCTAACAGCCAACGACTATTTGCCAAACACCCCCTTCGTAAATTTTAGTAAAATCAGCCGATACAACCGATTAAATGTGATTGGCTATGAATTGTGATTAAATGTGATTAAAATAACTTACGTGTGGCAGGTGAGAGAACAAATTAGGCTTCCGACCAACTTTGGGTAACGATCCAAACGAAAGTTAGAGGTTCACCTCAAGTTTTAGTGCATGGTTTTGAGTCATTGAAAATGCAAGCGATCGTGCAATAGTGAGACATGTTTTAACAAGAATATCAAGTTCATATTGTTGGAAAAAACCTTAGACTTTCTCGCTTCGTGAAGTTAAGATGGGTACTTGAGAATTAAGGTAGCAATGAGAGCACATGAGTTAAATTCTTAGATTCTTCTACTATACAAAAGAATAGTAAACTACAAGGATCTTGTTACAAAATTGACTCACTCTATGGTGGTTCACACTCAAGCTTGAGGATAGAGACTTTCCAAGCTATCTCTCTTCTCTCTCAAAGAGGCTCTCCAAGTCTCTAGCCTTCTCACTCTAGAAAGTGGCTTCTCTCTTGGTTAGAATATCACTACTAGAAAAATAGCTATTTGTTGCAGTTATTTTTAACTATTTGTTGCGGTTCGGAAGCGCAACAATTGGCAGGGCAGCAAATAGTAGAATAATCTATTTGCTACAGTTCTAAACCGCAGCAAATATCATTCAAAAAATCTTAATTTCTACGGCTTCTAACCGCACCGAAAACATTTTTAAAAGTTGCTATATTATTTTATTTTGTTATACTTTTCAAATAAACAACGATTATGTTTCGGACCAAAATATATCAAAATATATCCTATATATATAATAGAAAACATTCACTTTTACAATATCAATATATCAAAAGAGTCAAGTTATACATAATCATAAGTCAAATACATCACTAACAGTTACAACGATGAAGCAAAATGGTGCTCTATTCACAACTTACAAATCAAATCAACATAAGCATCATATATCTTCTACATGGCATTGGGGATTAAGGCTGAAGAAATCGCTTGATAGTTTCCCCTATCACGTCTGTTTACGTTCATCCGTCTCATGACTCATCACTTAT